CGCTGCTTTGACTTTTGGATCAGCCTCATAGTGCTGACGACCTCGCATCACGATCGGCCCCTCGGCCACGACGTCACACCCTATCCCAACACCGGCTTCATCAGCGCCGAGTGTGTTGGGCTAGCGATCAGGCTCGTCATCCCCTCCTGGATGGTGACTATCGCCACTATATGACGATCGGCTCCATCATCGCCTCGTCATCATATTTCGGACTGGCTCCTCATCATTGTCATCCGCACATCGCGATCAGCCTCTCGGCCGTGACGTGATTATTTATCACAAGACCGGCTCCCAGCGCCGAAGTCTTGTTATAGCGATTGGGCTCGCCATCCCTTCCCGGACGGCGACCGTCGCCCCTATATGACGCACTGCTCATCATCGCCTCGTCCTCACATTTAGACCGGCCCCAGCGCCGAAGTCCTTATCTAGCGACCAGGCTCGCCATTCCCTTCCTGGATGGTGATTGTCGCCTTCATATGACGCATGGCTTATCATCGCCTCGTCCCCATATTCGGACCGGCTCACCAGCGCCATCGTCCCCATATTCGGACCGGTTCGTCAACGTTGTCGTCCTCATATTCGGACCGACTCATCAGCGTCGTCGTCCTCATATTCAGACAGGCGTCCACCGCCTCGTCCCCCTATTCAGATATAGCGAACATCTTGCGGTCTCCGGCCGAAAGGCTAAAGGAGCCCAGAGTTCAGCCATATATCGCTCCGTCATCTTTATTTGATGACGTGAAGCTCATTTGCAGGACCATCGGCCATATATCGTTCTGTCATCTTTATTTGATGACGAGGAACTCATTTGTAGGCCTCTGAGCCACATCTTGCTCCGTCATCTTTATTTGATGACGCGAAGCTCAGTTGCAGGCCCATCGGGCATATATCGCCTCGTCATCTTTATTTGATGACGCGAAGCTCATTTACAGGCCCATCGGCCATATCTCGCTCCGTCATCTTTATTTGATGACATGGCGCTCGCATATAGGCCTCTGAGCCATATATCACCCCGTCATCTTTATTTGATGATGTGGGGCTCTCATGTAGGCCTCTCGGCCATACGTCGCCCCGTCATCTTTATTTGATGACGAGGAGCTCTCATATAGGCCTCTCTCGGCCATACATCACCTCGTCATCTTTATTTGATGATGTGGGGCTCTTATGCAGGCCCCTCGGCCGCACCATCGCCCCATCGTCTTTATTTGACGACGTGGAGCTCTTATGCAGGCCCCTCGGCCGCACCATCGCCCCGTCGTCTTTATTTGACGACGCGGAGCTCTTATGCAGGCCCCTCGGCCGCACCATCGCCCCGTCGTCTTTATTTGACGACGTGGAGCTCTTATGCAGGCCCCTCGGCCGCACCATCGCCCCGTCATCTTTATTTGACGACGTGGAGCTCTTATGCAGGCCCCTCGGCCGCACCATCACCCCGTCGTCTTTATTTGACGACGTGGAGCTCTTATGCAGGCCCCTTGGCCGCACCATCGCCCCGTCGTCTTTATTTGACGACGTGGAGCTCTTATGCAGGCCCCTCGGCCGCACACATCGCCCAATCGTCTTTATTTGACGACGTGGAGCTCTATGCAGGTCCCTCGGCCATACATCGCCTCTTCGTCCTTATGCGACAACGTGGAGCTCTCGTACAGGCCTCTCGGCCCATCGGCCTTACGTTCTGGTCATCTTTATTTGATGAACCAGACATCATATTGTGGACGGTCGCTCGACCCATCCCTTAGTCATCTTTATTTGATGACTAGGACTACTGATCATGATGAGCTACCCACATCTAGAGATCGGCCTCGACCATCCAGCAGACGGGCACCACTGCAGCTCCATCTCCAGGCCGAAGGGCTCCCACCTTTTGTTTCATTTTGGGGGCATCCGGTGTACTCTTTTTCCCTCATTGGGATTTTTTCTCACAGGGTTTTTCCTAATGAGGTTTTTAACGAGGCATCTCCCCATCGTAGATCAAAAGGTGTCAACCCTCGGCCCCCTGTTGAAGACATCATCCGACATGCATTACTCTACTCCTCTTCACCTCATTACACTCGCCTCAAGGAGTGGGGGACTGGAAGAGCGGGGGACTTAGCGCCTCCGTTAACCAAAGAAGCAAAATTTCAAATTTTTTTCATGAAGTTTACTCACCAGACGACGACAGATCAGCACACAGTTCTACTCTCTTTCGCCTCGAATACTCTCGACTCAGAGAGTGGGGGACTCCTGATAGAGTATATAGACTCGAACCCCCGGGTCTCATGACTATTGGGCCCGGACAGCGACCCACACACATCTTACGGATATCATTTGTATTATTGTACTGCTTATATGTCATTTGTATGTAACTATGTACTAGATTAGTCTTTTATGTAGTTGGACTACCGGGCCCATATTAGCGGCCCGGCCCATTATTTCCCTATTTATACTCCTCTTGGAGCCATTTGTAACCCTAGAACATAAGTCTCAATACCACTATTCATTCATCTTCCTCTCTACATGCTCAAATCTCTCCCATTTTATATATACTTGGATACCTATAATCCATCAGGAACCAATACACTTCATTAATTACAACGTTTACACATTTTTATACGAACACAATTATTTTACAAGACGGGTTATTTTATCTTCCAAGTTAGAGCATCTCCATTCATGATCTCTAATAATCAATTTTTTATATGATTCTTACCATTTAAATATTGTTATGTAATTAATTATAAAATAATCTCAAAATTCGTTTATGTCTCTCAATCATCATCTTCAAATAATCTATTTTTTCTTTGTCCCGCATTTATCTCTATTACATATCTTTTTCAAATAATCTTAAAATAATCCGGATTCATATTTTGATCCCAGATTATTGTAGCAAATAATCCTATTAAATAATCTATGTCACTCATTGATAATTCTCTAAAAAAACTGCCATGTCATCAATTTAATCTTGTAATAATCCTCCCAATGAGGATGCCCTTAGACGATACTAGTCAAAAACAATTGCGTAAGAAAATCTAACATTAGAGACAAGAAATGTGTCTCGAAAAAAAAGAAAAGGATGCCACAAAATCGATTTGGATTCACACATCTAGTATTACAAACAAGAAATGTGTGTCACATAAAAGAAATGGTGCCACAAAATTGAATTAGATACACATATCATACACATAGAGTATGTTTTTTGGCACGACTCCATAAAAAGACACTTTTATAAGCTTTTGAGTAACGGTAAGCTTTTAGCGATTGAAAAGATTTTAAAAGTAAATAGTGGCAATTGTTTGGCAAAAAACTGACTGTTTGGTTAAGTTTTGTTCTATATACAAGCTTTTGTGACTATTTAATGCTAAAAGCTACAAACTTCTCTCTGATGCTACTCAGTGTAATTTTTCGAAAAAGTATTTTTATTTTTGAAAAAGCTCTTAAAGATTTTGTCATGACAAACATATAATTAAAAGTTTTAAAATACATTTTTAATAGTACAAAATCTAGAAGGTATGAGCTTATGTCTACCAAAAATGCACCTAGACATGCTTGCAAAAGTTGGCAGACTAACCAATCTAACAATCCTGTATTATATTTATAGGCGCAAAAATGACAATCCAATATTTCCTCCGTTCTAGAAAACTTGATCTGAATGATTTTTCTTAGTCAATGATAATAGATTTTGAACGTGATTTTAGTTATTGTATTTGTGTGAAATTTACAACATTTGTAGTTTTACTAAAAAAAATTATATAATTTTCATATTTTAAATAATTTCGTATTAAAGAATTAAAGAATATCATTAATCAAATTTAATCATCATTAACTAAGAAAAGTCAATATGACCAAGTTTCGTGAGAGGAGTAATATTTGTAACAGTAATACAGTGTGAGTACAAAATATATTGGTAAATTTAAATTTGAAATAATTATATAAATATGACCAAAATAAAGATTATTTATAAAAATATGACTAATGACTAGAATAATAATAAAATCATAGTAATTCATATTCAAGTTTTGAGCTTAAATTAGCACAATTAGTTTTCACATGCATATTTATCGGCAGGTTATGAAAATCTCTTCCATCTTGAGCGACTCTTCAGCCGCCTAAGGAGAATTTGCCTGAGATTGGACAAACTCTTTTCGTGACAATATCTATCCATAGCATTTTGTCGGTGTAGCTGACTAGGTGGTCAATTATTTAGCTTCACGGGATTCGTAACCCTATACTTGGTAGCCCATAACTTTAAAGCCATCAGTCCTCTATTCCATTGTACCTTGGCAAGTAACTCGTAAATTGGGGTAAAAAAATGGGGTAAAAAAATGGGGTAAAATTTCTTTCACTTGTACGGGTAGTTCAACTAGCTGGGAGAGATATTTGAATTGACAACGACAACGACAACGTGAAAGTTACATCTAATATGATGACGCTTGTGTGCACTACACTCTGAAACATCTTACTTCATCCACCATCATTACATCTCTTAGGGTGTGAAGCGCTGGGGTAGGCAATTCCACCTTCTGAGTTATGGGGATAAAATGTCTTTCAATAATAGGCCATAATTATTTTGAAGAATTGATAGTTTGATAATAGAACGTTCTTGATGTACACCTTTTGTACAACCTGCTATTTATAAGGATGTTCACAGATGAATTGCATTTTTGTTTCGAATTATCAATGTACACCAACAAAAATAGGGAGTGTACAAAAGGTGTGGCATACACCAAGTTTTTTCTTGATAATATTGCTTTATAGCCCAATTTTTAGGTGTAATGCTTATTGGATCGATTCACGACCAAGTTAGGCTGAGTAATATACTTGGTCAGTCACTATCTTTATACTGACTCAGTCAGTTGATTTAGTACTAAACACGTTATCTAATGGCTAATACATTCAATGATAGTCTATCATGTCTTACTTTAAAAATAAAGTATCAATTTTTTTAGATGTGTAGGGGATGTTTGGAACTGATTCTGCTTCTTGTTCTTTTTTAAAGTAAAAACAGAATCAGAATCGGATTTCAGAATTTGAAAACATAATTGAGCTAGTCCTTTATTAAGAATTTAAGTTGATAATAAGATACCCCTAGCTTTCATTATGGCCTCACAAAATTGCCTGGTGAAAGACAAAGGGCACAATACAATAACTTTTAGATAATTAGATACATGTTTAACTACACTAATTTGTATTATGTACATGAAATGCCAAAGAAAAAGAGTGATGAGAAAAACACAAAATTCATAGCAGCTTCCAGGGAAGGCAATGAAGCTTGGAACATGAACCAGACCATGAAGCTTCACACTGATCTTCTCCTCTTCCATCAGCAATAACTGCACCATCACAACACTTGCACTCCATCCCAAGCGTTGCAAAAAGCTTCACATATCCTACGTTCATTTTAAAGCAAATTAGCATACACACATACAGCTACAAAAAATCAAGCATTTGGCGTTAGTGATTTGTGCATCTAAATGTCTAATGTCGGTTCTCATCGACGCTAGCTAATTGCCACAAATACAGTCCGAAAGATAGACCGTCGGCTCCGTGGGCGAAGACTTTTGCATCGGTTTTTAAAACCGTCGGAACATCCGATGCGAAGTTCGGATATCTTCTACCAACGGTTTTACGTGTTGTTAATAATCCAATTTAAAAATATGTTATACCAAAATAAATGTACCGGTTAGCGGCAGAGTCAGAAATATTTCTAATAAAGGGTCTCGGGGTTAGATCGAGCATAGAAAATTTTACTGCAGAGCAAACTAGTAGCCCGGCTCCTTCCTGACTCCTCCGTTGTATATATGAATATGTATTTATTGGAAGGAAATAAAAGTGATGGAGGAGTAAATCACGGTAATGATTTCAAACAGTTTCTAAGGGAGGTGGTTCAAGGCCTGATGCGCACAAGAAGTCACCACATTGATCGAATGAACTTCTCACACTACTACCGCCAAGAATTGAACGTGAGACCTCAATCCAAGTGTGAACTGCCTCACTCAGTCACGTTGAGCGACTCCTATGGGTGCCTAATTCAAATCATACTCGTGGATGTAAAATGGCGACAACCAAAGTCACTACACAAAATCAACGAATTTGACACGAATTCTTGACACAGATTCTTGACACGAATTTGTCAAAATTCACAGGAGATTTGACACGGATTTGACACGTATACGTCAAATCTGTGCCAAATTCCGTGATAATGCCAAATTGTCACCGGTTATTTGGCACGATGGCGTGCCAAAAATATGTTATGATATGTGCCAAAACTCGATCGTTTCGTGTCAAGCCGTGCTAATATCTTGTTTTTTCTTTGTAGTGGGTGTAGCATAGAGAATAAAAATGGCAATGTTTCATTTCTAGTATTAAGAACTCTTTCCCTTGAAACCACATACACCAACTCACACTCATATATACTTCGGATGAGTTAATGCATGGAAGATGAAATCAGGAAACCAAAACTTAAACCCGCACGGGTAGCTCAGTTGGTCGAGTGCTGGGAGATTTAGATCAATGATCAAGTATGGGTCTCTGGTGCGCACATATGTATGGGCCTATTTTCACTCTGCTGATTGGGTCGCCGTGACTAACCTCTACACCACCTGTCGGGTCGGGGTGGGGGCTCCTGGGGTGGGAGATTCCACCTTTTTTGGATCAAAGGAAACCAAAACTTACTGTTGTTATCTTGGTGTAAGAGGGAAATCAACGGCCTGGCTTCTGCAAAAGTTGTATGATTTTGTGAGGAAAGTTGAAGAACCAAAAGCAAGAGAAGAAGATAAGGCCTGAAACAAGGTAAGACGACCATGTCTACTGTACGTACTGGTTTATGAATTTTTCTTGTAGAAATATATAGAACGAATCCCAGCAATCTGGTGACCGTGTCTTATACGTAGTAGTTTAGTTTTTCTTCAACTTGAACAAAGTACATATATTTATATGGCCGAAATGACAATTAATTTAAGGCAAAAGGGTCAACGGGTCATAATGACACTATTATTTGATCTAGAAGGTGCGGAATTAAAGGGCGGGAGTAATTAATTGTAGAACAAATTGAGAAGCGTAATTTCCGGCTACAATTTGACTTCGTTGCATTTTAAAAAATAATCCATCTACGCATTCTATTGGAATTTTATCAATTCAGAACACGAAAGATAGATTAATTATCAATTCAGAACCTGAAAGATGAAACGTATCGGTATAGGACCCGAATGGCGGAAAACTATCAATTTAGGACCTAACTTTTCATAGGTTTTTTATTAATTCCTTTACTAATTTTTGATAAACTTTTCTTCACAAAAGTTTATTAGTTTAATAAAACTAAATAATATTTAAAAAAATTAAAATAAAAAAATTATGACAACTTAGGTCCTAGATTAATAGTTTTCAATTATTCAGCTCCTAAATTTATTGTTTTTTATCATTCGGGTCATATATCGAAGCACTTCATCTTTCAGGTCCCGGATTGATAATTCATCTATCTTTCGGGTCCTGAATTGATAAAATTCTCATTCTGGTGTATTTATTACTCTCTACATCCCAAATTGATTTGCAAAGTTAGCATTTTTGAGTTAAATATTTTCAATTTATTCACTTAATTAGGGTATTAATTTTTTATTATATTCTAATTTGGATTTTGCTACATTGTAGAGATTTTAATTTAGTTTCAAAATATGTAAATTTTAATTATAAAAAAATCGAATCAATTATCTAAAGGGAGGATTTAACTTTAATCTTGATTGATAAAAAATGTTGACTTTGTAAATCAATTTGGGACAGGGGTAGTATTATAAAAGCTAAATTTTGAACTTCATTGCTTCCCAATTTTTTGAATTGTTGGAACTCGGAATATATACAAAATCAATTGTTGAAATGAAACGTTTAGTATCACCCAATATGTATACGTACAAAATTTAACTACGACAATGTTGCGCTATCCCTTACGGGCTTAGTTAATTGAATATACTTGATATTTTTTACGCAGTATTTCATTTCCATTTTTCTAAAATTCAATTGTGTTTTTTAAATTTATAAATATTATTATTACAACTAATTTATCTATTTTTTGGAGAAAATTAATTGTAACGCAACTAGCCTGAATGCCGGAAACAGGTATAACATGGCCTTCTGTTCTTTCAATCCGAATACTCCCTCGATCCCCGATTAAACTTTCAAATTGCCTTTTAGGGCGATCCAAAATAAACATCAACTTTCCTTTTTTGGTAATGAATTTTGAGTATACTCAATTCAGCACGAAGCTAAAAAGGTACTACATCCGTTTCAAATATACTTCCTAGTTTGACTTGTCACGCTTATTAAAAAGTGGGGAAAAGGTGACAATGTATGATTGTGGTTGAATAAGAAAAATGTAAAAATATATGAGACATAAAATTATCCAAAAAGAGAAATGAGACTCATTTTTTAAAACATCCCAAAATAATAAGTGTGGAGAATTTTTTGGTAGAAAAAGGATGTTCTAGTCATTGGTTCAAGCGTGTGATTATTATTGAGGTGAAGACACTAATCACACTATGGTGGACGGAGGAAGAAAGGAAGTGATTACGGACTATTAAATTGAACAAAAAAAGTGTGTTTAATGAGGAATTGAATAGTTGTTTCCAACGGGAGTTGGACTTGGGGTACACACTTTTTGTTTACACACTTTTTACACATGTCTGTGTAAGGATTTTTTTATGTCTGTACAGACATAACGTATTTTAAAAATACGTTATGTCTGTACAGACATAAAAAAAATCTTACATAGACATGTGTAAAAAATGTGTACATAAAAAAGTGTGTACTTTAGAATTTTTCTTCTGCTTCTAGAAGATTGAGAAAAGACAAGCGAGAGGAGACAAAACAGATGAAGACCGGTCTTCCACGTTTTCAAACACTGGCTTGGAAGTTTCCTTAGAACTAAAACCGGCTGCTGCCAGTGGCTTTAAAGATCCGCTCCCACCGCATTTCACATCTATGTGGAGAATTTGAAGTCTAGTCCTTTAGTCCTCACCTAATCAAAGACAAAGTTCTCCCTTTTATTTCCTCTAACACCATTTCAAAATAGTGTGAGAGTCTCAAAAATGGACTCCGTCAATATGAAAACAGTGTTTTGACTCTTATTTGTTTGCATTCAAGCACCGTCAATAAAATACATTCTGCATATTTTTTACATACTCCGTATCAATTTAGTAAAACATATAATTAAATTAGTATAAGTAATGTTTTTCTTTTAATTTTTTTCCTAAATAAGTATGAAATAAAAAATATACATTTGATGTAAAACTTAAAAAAAATCATTAAACTTTTTTAAAGTTTTTCGTTTAACAAAAAATGAACTTATTTCAAGTAAAGTTCGATTATGGAATATTCAGTTATTTGTGAAGACTCAAGAATCAAAACTTTGTATTTCGTGTTTCTTTTTTCGCTCAAGAAAACCTCAACTGTTAACTCTTCAAAAAAAAAATTATAAATTACATATTGGTGTCATATGAAAGGTCATCATGAATTTTGATATAGTTTTTGGAAAGTTTGGAGAACGAATAATAAAGTTATAAGAATTTAAAATGATTTCATATTATAATGATATCATGATGTTATCATGATGGGAAAATCACTATTAGCCCCCTGAGGTTATGCCATAATTATTAATGCAACCTTGCATTTTAAAAAATAAATTAGTTACCCCCTGAGTTTTTATCATTCTCATTGTTTGCCCCTCATGTTAATATTGGTTAAATTAAATTTAATATAACTCTTAAATTCAATGAAAGTTGTCTATAAAATTAAATTTTAAAGTAAAACACAATTTATTATCATAATTATAAGTCATTGTTGTTGATCATTATTTTTGTACTTACCTACTCGATCATGGAATAAATATTAATGAATGTAGCATTGTAGTTAACGGAGAAGACTCACGAGTAAGATAAAAAATATCATGAATTTTGTATTTTTAATTTAAAAAATTAATATCATTTAATATTTTTAAACTAATAAACTTTTTGTGAAGAAAATATCATCAAAAAATAGTAATAGAATTAATAGAAAATTAAATAAATCAAAATCTAAGACATATTATAGGTCTTAGATAGATGGCTTTCAATTTCAGACCCTATCAAACATTCTATCTTTTAGGCCTGTTACTATAACTAGATCAATCTTTTAGTTTATGGATTGCTAAAATTCATATTTTCTTGGTATTTCTTTTTTGATACAAACGAAAGAAATGTCATTGAGATTAATTCAGCTGGATGAATTACAAATAAGACTTTTATATTCATAATGAAGAGGCGTCTAGAATTTTGATAACACATATTTCAAACAACTTTCTTATGTATCCCATTAATATTACTAAGCTTGCGAGTCTTCGACCTTAACTACTTTCATTAACATTTATTCTACGATCAAGTAATTAAGTACAAAAATAACGATCCAGAACAATGACTTATAATTATGATAATACAATGTGTTTTACTTTAGAATTTAATTTTGTAGACAATTTTTATTGAATTTAAGAGTTATATTAAATTTAATTTAACAAATATTAACATGAGGGGCATATAGTGAGAATGATCAAAACTGAGGGGGTAACTAATTGATTTTTAAAAATGCAAGGTTACATTAATAATTAAGACATAACCTCATGGGATAAATAGTAATTTTCCCTATCATGATTCATCTGAACCAATGAAAACCCCGCAGCGCACCTTTCTGCTCTGCTCAGGAATCCCATCCGCCCCCATTCCCCCATTTTAATTTCTTTTTCATTTTCTTTTTGGGTGTCAAAAACTTTCTAAATTTAACTTCATCCCTCCTCATACCCACTTTTATTACCCTCTATATCCCACCAATGTATGAAATTAAGAGTCCAAAAATGCCATTTTTAACATTTTGGACTCTTAATACCTCACCACTCCAATTAGTCTAAGGTATTAGGAGTCCAAATGGTTAAAAATGGATATTTTATATTCCTAATTTAATGGTAGGGTAGTACGAGTCGAAATGGTTTAAAATGGATATTTTAGACTCCTAAAAGTGGGAAATGTGAGTTGGTGACCTAAATATGGAGCGAGGGCAGATTGGGGAACAAGTATACACTGAAGCGTTAAATACTGTTCCAAAAGATGCGGCGCTTCTCGTAATCAATGGTGTTTTTTAGGGGGGTCACTAGATTATCCAGAACAGGGACCCCGATTTATGGGAGCCAGATTTTTAAAAATTTGTTAATATTATATAGTAATATTATATACTCCCTCCTTCCCAATTTCATTTGCAAAATTTCTTATTTTGATTGTCCCAAAATGGTTTTCACTTTCTATTTTAGTCATGTAAATAAGAATAAAGTGACAAATTTACCTTTACTTTTACCTTTTCTCCACTAACTTAAAGGCATCTACTTTTGGGAAGATGGGGAAATTTGTAAAAAGTAAGAATCATTTATTGTCATTCCTTAATTCTTTTGCCGGTCAAACTTTGCAAAACAAATTGGGACAAATGTAGTCTTAATATATTCATACTAATCATAAAATACAGTTGGTAAGGAAGAAAAATATAGATTCATCATTGTTTTTCGTTGGTCTTTTTGTTCCCGTTTACTCAAATTGCTTGAATAATGAGTTGCGTTAATTTAAAAAAAAGTATTAAGTAAATTTTAGAAATTTTTTATTACATTATTTAATGAGTATTCAATTGATTGAGTATAAGATTTTGGATTGAGATTTTTTTTCATTTTCTATATTAATGTGGTACCTCAATTTTACATTCGGAACCCGGGCCCTCCAAATTCATTAGACACCCCTGCTTGTAATTAAAAAAAGGACTTCAAATCATTTATGTTACAATACCACAATCTAACGAGCAACTACAAACGAATGTTTCATCCACCAATTGAATTGTTTGTGTTCCAATGGTCACAGGATTCATTTATTTTACATGAGAGCCTTCAAAGTTGGGCCCGTGAAAATATTTTTTTACCAGATTGTTCTGTTGTACAACCGGACAGGCCTAAAAGCATCATCATCAAAGGGCTCAATAGGATAGGTAAAATGGCATGGGCCGGATCACTCGGCCCACATAATTATTTGAGTGGGAATTTGGACTTCAACAAATATGTATGAAGCGCCGCATCTCTTGAACCAGTATTTAATGCTTCAACGTATACTTGTGCGACAGACTGCTTACATATCCACAAAATTCATTCATGAACTAGAAATGCCTATTTCAACATAAAAGTTCATAAATAGCTCAACTAAATAGATCCATATTTTATCAAACATTAGGCATCATAATACATGAAAAATCATAATTTAAGCATTTAGGTCATCTTATTCTTAACCTACAAGTTATAAGCAATAGATGTCGATCATCACCTCAAATAGTTTCTAATCTAGCCCATTTCGGTCCAACGGTCAAAACCCCGGTCAAAG